TTACGTAAATATAATGCATGTTTATATGTTTATATATGGTGTGTGCTTTCCAATAGGGGCGTTTTGTGAACGTTTGCTTCTGGTTCATTCCACCCAGTCTGAGAGGGAAGGAGAACAGTGCGGATTACCAGGAAAGGTTATCAAAGGTCGGCTTCGTTTAAATGTAGAATGACAAATAATATGGCAGAGAATTTCATTATTGAGCACAGAATGATTGCTCATGTTCAATGTACGCCATCAGGTGGCGCCAGTCATCAAAGAGAGAATGATGAAGCGTGGAACCATGATGGTGGGATACCAGCCCATGGATGGACACGTCAACTTCTTCCGTATGGTTGTTGTTTCTCCTCAGCTGACCACCAAGGACATGGATTTCTTCCTTGATGAGATAGAGGAACTAGGGAAGGACCTGTAGTTAGTTTGAATATCTGTGGTCTACCAATAGACAATGTCACATTATCCCCCTCATCTCGTCATTTTGAAATTTGCGGTTTTCTAAAGGTTGCTAAAATGTTGACTTATAAGCGGTACATGATACTGACTTCAATGACTAAGCTAGCAAAAAAATATGCATCTGCAGAGGTCATAAAGTGAATGAATCTCATAGATTCATGCCCACCTAAGTATTGAATTCATTTGGAAAACCCAGTTTAGGTATTAGGGCATTTACTAATGAGCCTGATTATATAAATCAAGTGTATTATTAAATAAGTCGCTGCAGAGGCCCTCCAGAACCAGGATTGAGACGCACTGTGTCTGCAAACGTAATGTCAGCTAAACTGAATGTGCAAAATGATTCACAGGTGGAAAGCGTTTCTGAGTGGCTAAAGCGTGGGCTGTTCCCCTTACTCTCTTTCTCTCTTTTCTCTCAGAGCCGAGGGCTGTCACACAAACAGGAGTTAATTTATTTTAGGACACTTGTTTCAGTGATATCTGTTAATAGGGTGATTTTATGTGTGCTGTTCAAAAATAGCTGTCAATTTAAGTATGCAAAATATTTTCATTTTAGTAAATTGCATTTTTTTGGTGTCCATAATTTAATAAGGATATTTTATAAATGAGTTGATGATAGTGACTTGATTGTATTAAATTTGTTTAACACATTGTCTGCACAATTTTGCTTTAGTCTCCTTTATAAAGGAGACTTACCCAAACAATAGGTCAATATACATAGGCGGAACATGTCCCATTTGTTGTCTTTTGTTTGACTTTGTTTTGAAATTTGTCAATTAAAACGTCAATGTCACAAAAAAACCTTTATGTTAGAAAGGATATAATTATATTTCCTAGTTTCCAAATATCAAATAAAAGTTACTTTTCGCAAGCACCACAACATTTTATATATTAATAAAATTAACTCATTACACTCGTGGACTTTATTTACACCGGAAGTAGCCTTTAATTTGTTGCCAGTGTGGTGATCACGTGACAGACGCTCTCCCCAGAGAGCACTTCCGGTAACGTTTCCTGTGTTTGTAAACTGAAAAGATTGTCCGACAAGAAAATATTGGGCTACTGTAAACGAAGAAGAGTAAGGTAAAACAAATGCGCGCAGCCTGCGGTACTGCTTTTATTAAACCCACAGCAACATTTAAAAAAAGATTCACTGTTTTAATTGCACTGAAATAGGAAGTTAAATAGACGGTGAACTCACGCCCTGTTGTGCTGCAGAGGCTGAATGGAGGAGTTTACATTAGTAACGTGTTTACAGTTCAGACTGAAGAAAAATGAATTTCACGCAGAAATTGAGATTGTAAATATCCGAATTCGTGCATTTTGTTACCTTTGACCCGTTCAGACCTGAATTCTGTTCTACAGACACAAATAATAAGGCAATGTTTTATTTCTACTCTCAATTCAGCCATAAATTGATTTTATATATTATATTATTATATATAATTTAGCCATATATGAATATATATTATAGCATATGATTCTGTCATATATATGATGATTATTAATAGTTATTTAATTACAATGCACGTTAGTTATGAACAGTAACAATGTCCAGGTATCTGTGCATATGGATTTTATATGTTCATAAGTAACTTTAAATACATATATTTTATAAAAATGAACTTTAGTCTTAAATAATGCTACATTT